GGTTTATGTTTCTTTATGATGTTTTGTGCCTCTGTGTTCATTTTGTGTCTCTTTATAGATGTTTTCTGGCTGTTTTTGGTATTTTTTTTGTCTGTTTATGGTCATTTTGCATTTCTTTTTGGCTGCTTCACATCTCTGTGGATGTTTTGAGTGTCCTTTATTTCATTCAGTGTCTATTTGTGGTTGTTTTTTTGTCTCTTTGTAGATGTTTTTAGTTTACTTGAGGCGGTTTTGTGTCCTTGCGGCTGTTTTCTGTCTCTTGTTGGTTGTTTTTTGTCTCTTTGTGGTCATTGTGTGGTTGCTCTTAGGATGTTTGAGTCCATTTCTTTTGCATTTGTGCCTCTTTTGGGTCTCTGTGTATGTTTTTTTGAGAATTATGATGAGTCAGGATGAAACTGTGGATTCCTGAAACTGGAATTAAAATCCGTCAGAACTCAGATATCTGCAGCTGAATTGTAGATCAGGGTTTAGAAACACTGATGCCTTAAACATTCTTTCTCATTAGAAGGAACTGAATTGCAGATAAAACAGAAACGACTCGTCTTAACCCTCCGTCACCTTCTCCTGCTTTAAGCTGCTACTAAACATACGTCCTCTGCTACCAAGTCGTGCTAGCAATGACCTCTCTTTCTGTTTTTCAGGACAACACTTGCTGCTCCGTCCTGCTGCTGCTGCCGCCGCCGCCTCGAGGTAAAGTCAGGATAACGTTCCTTCATCCCTCCTGAAGGGGTTGCATGCTTTAGGGAACACAACAGGTGGGGGCGCGACGCCGATGATCCCTTCAAACTGGGAGGAATTAGGATCATCATGTCAGCTGCCAAATGTCAGATGTTGTCCGAGAGGCCCCCAGAATTCCCAATAGGGTCCCTGATTAGTGGGAGGAATTAGCGAGCGATGGCAGAGCAGATGAACGGTAGCAACTGTGTTCAGACGTCCACAACACGGTCCCGGCTGAGGGTTACTCCAGGACACTGCGGGTTTCACCGGTTTGTACGCAGTATGAAGCGTAAAACATGTGATTCCTGAGCCGACGGAATCATTTCCCAGAACGTACAGTCAACTTTTAAAGGCCGAAGTCCTCTTAAGTTCAACATTAATTACATTTAACGGCTGAAAAATGCTAAAAATGTGACCAAGCATGCCAAAGATCCACCTGCTAGTGTCTTTTCCATGATCACCTTCAATAGAGATATCACGTTTGTACAATTAGTGGCGTAAAATCTAAAACTCTAACTTGATTGCATCATTTCTAAGAACATGCAGTCATTTTTAAAAGATTAAGTTTAACAAAAATTACATTTCAAGGCCCTGTCAGTCTCTTTTCTGTGACTGTCTTCAACAGAGATATTATTTTGTGTTTTATTTCACACAGTTATAAGCCAAAAAATATGACAATCTGAGTTAATTGCACCGTTTTCCAGAACATACAGAACAATTTTAGAGGATTAAATTCGGCAAAGTTCAACAAAAATGAAATTCAAAGGCTGAAAAATGCTTAAAAATTCACGAAACATGTCCGACATCCACCTGCCAGACTACCTTCAATAAAAACATTATTGTTGCACAAGTAGAGAATAAAATATGTGATTCCAGATCATGAGGGAAAATTTCAAAGGTTTGAACCATGTAAAGTTCAACACAAACTACGCATAAAGACTTAAAAATACTTAAAATGTGAGCAAACATCCTGCCAGGCTCTTTTCTGTGGCTTCTTTCAGATACTATTTTGCACAATTACAAACAGAAGAAAAAGGATTCCCAAACAAGAGGCAAACTTTTCAAGGCTTAAATCAGCTAAAGCTCAGCAAAATTTACATTTAAATGCGTAAAATATGACCCAACAGGCCCAGCATCCACCGTCTGGGCTCTTTTCCGTGACTACCTTCAAGAAATAATTATTTTATGTTTTATTTTGCACAGTTAGAAGCATAAAATATAAAATTCTTAGCTGATTGCATTATTTTCAGGAACATGCAGTAAATTTGTTGAGTCTGAAATTGACAAAAATTCAGCAGAAGTTCCATTTAAATGCGTAAAAATGCGTAAAATGTGACCAAACACGTCCGGCATCCACCTGCCAGGCTCTTCTCCGTCACCACCTCGGATAAAGGTGTATTTTGAGGATTATTATTCACAATTAAAAGCATAAAATGTGTGATTCCTGAGCTAATTACATCACCTTTCCAAATTTAAATCATGTAAAGTTAAAAAATAATTACATTTAAATGCGTAAATTGTGACCAAACATATCCTGCATCCACCTGCCTCTTCTCCGTGACGACCTTCAATAAAGATATTCTATGCAATATTTTGCCAAATTGGAAACATACAATATTAAATTATTACCTGATTGCGTCATTTTCAGGTACATACAGTAAATTTGTTGAGTCTAGAATTGAGAGAGTTCAACAGAAATCCCATTTAAATGCGTAAAATGTGCCCAAACACGCCCGGCATCCACCTGCCAGCCTCTTTTCCGTGACTACCTTCAATAAAGATATTATTGCCGGTGACACATTATTACTCACTGTGTCACCCACACCCATTTGGCATCCCTTGGAAAAATGATTTGCGGCGGGAGCCTGGTCACAAGACGAAATCTGCCCGAGCATCCGAAAGCAGAGTAGCAACAGAGGCGCGGATTGGCGGAGAGGCGCAGCAGCTGAAACAGCTATGTAAACACTTTCCCTCTCTCCGTAATTATAGCCGGGATGCTGGTGACGACAGTTGTCCCATCGAGACTTCAAATGCTGGAATAAATTTGACATTATGACACCTGATCCCGGCTCCGGTGGCGCGCCCCCCGTAAACACCGGGGCGCGGTATAAAGAGCGGGGACCCCGGCTGGAACACGAGTTGTTTACCCTTTAACGCCGGACTTCTGCTGGACGAATAGGAGGCAGGGGGCCCTTTAAATCCAGCCCGCGGTGGGGTTTTTTACGTAACACGGCGGAGGGAAAAGCGGAGGGGAAGCACCGGGCAGAGGGGAGTCGGTGGACAGAATCTATCCAAGAGCGCACGGAGCAGAGCGCAGAGCGGAGCGCGCAGGGAGCGGAGGATTTATACTGAAAACTTTGACTCAGAACCGGTAAGAGGAGCTGGAGCCAGAGCAGCCTTCTTTTATATTCTAGTCCAGGAGATTTAAATGAATTAATTTTAATATTCAAGCTCTAACTGTTGCTGAAATTCACATTTAAAAGTCAAAACTTCAACCTGACGGTGTTCTGCTGCCACGGTCTGACTTTTCCGTCATAATCTTAGATTAAAATCTTTATTTTACTTGATTCTTTCATTTGAAGCTGTATTTTCTTCGTGTTATTTTCTTCTTTTTTTTTGGTGCCTCTGACATACTTCCACTGCTTAGGACATGCGGTCAGTTTACTATGCATAGTTACAAGATTATTAATATCCGTACTCTTACATCACAGGTGGGAGGGAGGCGGCTGGTACATTCGGGCACTTTTCGACCTGGATACTTGTAATATTGACAACAACAACAACAACAACAACAACAACAACAAGGCCAGCCTGGTTTGGTTCACCCAAGTCACAGCACCGTTTAGGAAGCAGCTGGGACGCGGTTTAATCCCACGTAAATGAACTTCTGAGGATCTTAGAAGTGACACAGCAGAATTTAGAAGACGATAGAGCCTGAATGTGAAGCACCGAGCTGTAGTTCCTCACTTTATGGTCCGTGTACCGGGATGTTCGCGGCATATTTTAGCCTGTCATCAGTGTGCAAAACAAGCAGGGTCAGGACTTTTTGGCATTAGAGGCTTCCAGAACTGACGCCATGTGTGCACAAGTGGGTCATGTTCTAAGAAAATGGCCACCCGGTTGCATGCTCTGGATTTTTTTCTCCCCATGTAAGCGAGGTGCCCGGAGGCTGGAGGTCAAAGTGACCAAGAGTCTAAACGCTCGCGCCGCGGTGCTGTCATGCAGTATTCTTGTCCACACGTGCTGCCTAGGTAGGCTTACATGGCTGTGAATTTTGCAGGAGAATGTCAAAGTAGAGGGGCTGTAAATATCTCGACCTCTGCCGGAGCATAAAGTTTGCAGCAATAACAAGCGGCTCAAACAGGTGAAACGAGTAAAAGAAGTGTTTAAGTGCCACGTGCTTTCAGTTTGCTGACCAGGTTCGGTTTCAGGGTTTTATCACACAGCAACACGTGGACGTGTTCTACTTACCGTCCGTTAACCGGCCTCGTTATCTCTCCTTTTGACGTTTTTTAGTGTTTCCAGGCCATCAATCGTTACGTCCCCCGCCGCCGACCCCTCGGTGACCTCTGGCAGGAAAGTGAAAGAGGAGACAACTGGAAAAGGCCTGCGGGCGTCGGACGGGCCTGCGTCATGGCAGCCATCGATCTGGAGCGGGGACTGGAGCACGGCGGCCGGGGCTGGGGCCAGGAGAGGCCGGAGCTGATGGACAACTTCGACTCGGAGATGCAGGAGTGGGAGGACCAGCTGCAGGACATTCAGAGGAAAATAGAAGAGGTGAGCGTCTGGGAGCAGCGTTGCACAAAACTACACCTGACTGCTGCAGAAAAACAGAAACACAGCTCATTATGTTCCCCGTCTGTAACCGTGGAGGTAAATTATTCAGTTATTTACTGAAGAGAGAAACAAATTCAGCCACAAGAATATCTCAGATTAATCCAAGAGTTCAGTTTAACCCTCAGAAATCCAGTGTTTGTTTGCATTCGTCCCATTTCTCTTCTCTGTGGACTCGTTTTTTAACTTCAATATAAAGTCCTGCAGCTCTACGGAAACAGAACGACCAGAAACAGAAGCAGGGAGAACTCAGGAAATAAATAAATCATAACACATGAAAAAAATACAAGCAGAATGTCTTTTATAAGGTGCAAAAACGTAAAAACCTGGAATAAACACACAACATTCACACTCGTCTCCTATCGAGTCTGCATAAACACTGCCTGCAGCTCAGCCGAAAACTCCCTGAATTTTTGTCGTGTGACTTCTGGCTGCAGCTGCATCACTGATACCTTCACAGCTGCACCAAAAAGTGCAGAATTTCTTGTTTTTTACAGAATTTAATTACAGTACACGGTTCATTTTTAGCTAATTTTTTCATGGAGACCTGTAGGATGAACCGAAACTCTCGCATGATGAGTTCAAAGACTGCTGGAAAGCTAAAAATTGGACAATTTAAAAAAAAAAATTTGCCTGATAAATGATTTCAATAAAAAACAAAACCTTCCATGCATTTTTGGGGGGCTTACAGAGTTAACTGTGATGCTTGAACTCACACACATGTGGTGCATGTTGGTGGTTTTGTTTCCAGGTGAAAGCTTTTGTGTAAAGGTGTCAAACTCGTGGCCTTGTTGCAGCAACAATACAAACGCTAACAAGCTAATTAACCTGCTGACAGACGCCCTGAACGTAGAAGCATCAAAGGGAAGCTGGCGTTTGTGCAAACTGCTGATCAGAAGTGAGGCTGTGCACTGACTTTATGATAATAATACGACTAATTTACCTGCAGAATGCATCGAATCAGCAAAAAAAACCTGCAGAAGCTGTTAAATTTTTGTTCCGTTTTCATTCTCCAGCTCTACAACGAAGTCCAGGCCCGCAGGGGAGCCAACGACATCGCCGCTGACAACCAGAAAAACGGCGTCCCGTCAGAGTGCAGCCTGGGACACCACGGCCACCACGGCGAGTCAAACCCTGCAGCTACGCCTCTGCCACATCACTATAGCAACGGCTACGGCTACGACACCAACGGCTACCCTCCCGTTGGTCATCAGAACGGCTACGCCTACTGCCACTCCAACGGCGTGTCCGAGATCGGAGACCTGCTGCAGGACTACCTGGGAAAGGGCAAGCAGATGAGCCGGAAGAACAACGGAGCTCGCCACGTGGTGAGTCAGATTCTCGCAATTTCCCTCCTTCCTGGTGCCTCATTCTGGAGGCATCTGCACATCCCAAGAAACCGGAGAGGGCGGACGTGATACGAGTCGGGGGTTCAGTCCGGAGCGTATCGATTACGGTTTCCTGCAGTGACAGGAGTTAGTTTTACAGTCCGTCCTAACTCTTGCGCCGACACCTGACAGAGAACGAGTTAAGACGTTAAACTCTTTCGGTTCCACACGAGACGTCACGTGTTTCATCGAGTACAGTAGATCAGAATAGTTTGAGGCTTGATATCGGGTGTTGATCGGGTTTTGGTGCAGCAGCCAGCGATCCAGAAGTAGCACAAACTAATTTAAAGCTTTTAAATATAGTAGAGACTCGTTTACATGGAGCTTTGATGTCTTTCAGCACTTCAGCGACACGATCAAGGTGAGCCCGGACATCTCTGCGTACCGGGATGAGTTCAGGAGAACATCTGGAAACGAAAGGTGAGAGGTCTCGCTCTTTACTCGTGAACACTTAACAGATGCTTGTTTCGTGTGTTTCTCATGGGGGTCTTCTGTCAAACCAGGCTGGGTCCGGAGCAGTTTCTGGGCAGCTTTGAAGAGACTGAAAACCGGAAAAACCGAGTGTCTCACATGAAGAGCTCCCCCAACAAAGAGAACACCGGAGCCAAGCCGCCTCTCGGACAAAGGGACGCTCCGGCTGCACCGCCAACGCGCTCGCAGCTCGAATCTCCGGCTCCGGACAGGAAGTCTTTTGCGCCGGGAGTCCTGGGGGACAGAAAGTGCGCCAGCCCGTCGGTGCTCCGGAAGTTCGGCGCCATGCTGCAGGAGAACGAGGGGAAAATGCTCACCGAATCGGGGGTGGTGACCCCACAGGGACCGGCCCCGGAGCCAAAGAGCCCCACTCCTGGCTGTCAGCGCAGAGCCGTGGGAGCCGCCGCCAGTCCCGGCAGGGTGCCCATGCGCGTGCCTACCCAGAAATGCCAGGCAGATTGCGACGTGCTGACAGCAGAGGTAGAGCCCAGCCAAGAGTGGGGGGTGGCATCGGACTCTGGTAGGCAGAGGGGATCTAAAGCGTCCCAGCAGTGGAGGTCACCGGCGACTGGGAGCCCAAAGATTAGACCGAGGACGAACAGCGTCGCGGACAGAGACGGAGGATTGGTTCAGGGGGAAAGAGCGAGGAGGCCGGCGGAGCACAAAATGGACCACAGGGTCTCGAGTGCTTCCTCCGGAGCTCAGAGGATGCAGAGGGGAGGGTTGGCAGGACAGGAGCTGAGGGATGAAGGACTTATCGAGCTGCTGGACATGCTGGAGATCCAACACGAGTACAGTTCTGGTCCGAGGACCGCATACACCGCTTACAGGCAGGAGCTGCAGCAGGTTGGTTACCGTCTGCACCTTTACTTAGCGTCACATTCTCCAAATGCAAACTGTGCTTCGTCATAACTCCTGTCGTGTTTCCGTTCAGGTGAACCCGGTCGAGTTGTCTCCGGTCAAGCCCAAGAAGAGCTTCTCTCGTCCTGCGCGGCCGGCCAACCAGCGGCCTCCCTCCAGGTGGGCCGGCCGCACCCCTACTGCCAGAATCACTGCCCCGTCGGGCCCCATCTACCGGCCCCCGAGCCCCAGGACGAGAACCCCGAGTCCGGCGCCGAGGCACCGGAACCTCATCCCCTATTCCCTGCAGACTGAGACTGTCATCATGTGATCCGTCCAACGCAGCCTGTACATAAAAAGGACATTTCCGTTGCAAAGAAAAAGCTTCATTTCATCTAAAAAAAAATACATTCTCCAGTGTTGCTGTGGCTTTTACCTTCTTCTGTGCCCACATCAGCTTTGCCCCTTTATCCCTATTCCTTCTTCTTCTTTCTTTTTGTATTGACTTTCAGGTGTTTTCTGTGTAACTCTGTGATTCAGCATGCAGCCCCGGTTCTCGAGGGTGCATGAATCCTCACTGCCGCCGTCCGCCGCCGCCGGGTTGAATCAAATTCAGCCCGTGGGGAGGAGATCTGAGCTGCTGAGCGTCAGCAACGGCGTGTTTTACTGTATCATAATGTCAAAATATATTTAAGATGAATTAACAGCTGTGACAAATGACTATAATATGCCTTTAATGTATTTTTTTCCTCTTGGTAATAAACATGACAGTGCTTTGACTCGCTCTCTGTGGTGCCTTGTTCCATTAATGGCGGCTCGCATTTCAGGATGTTGATGATTTATTGCGCGTCAGGCCGACGGACACCCGACACCTGCAGCCGCGTTAGCCGTCGTTGCTAGCAATTAGCCGGTTTTAAAAAACACTTAGGGAGCTCCTCTATTGTGGAGGCTCGTGTGACACTTTGATTTGCTGCTTTAATTATATTCTCCGTGAGGTGCATTAGCGCCGCGCCGGGGAGCAGCTATGCTAGCCGTCGTTAGCGGGGTATCCGGTGTTGGATCGCCTTCCCCCTCGCCGCGTGTTCGAGCCTGCATCGACACCTCCCCGGCGAGGAAACACGCATTTGCACGATCTCGAGTTCGGATTTTCGTGCATATACCGGCAAGCTAGCATTTTTTTTTTTTATCTGCACATGTGCACGCTCCGTTGGACGCTCGGGAGCACCCGGCGGAGGCAGCCCGAGTGTGAAATGTCATGTAAAGGCTGGGACGGTGGGCGGAAGTCCCTCGGCCCCACGATGCCTCAGCCCTGTCACCCAACCTCTCGCTGCTATGTGGCACCTCGGACGGAAATAGCAAGCGTGACGTGTGTTTTGGTGCCAGAAATCTTAGCCTGCTGTCTTTGGGGGTATAAATAAAGAGAGAGGGACGGGGTAGGGGGGCGGCGGCGCTCTCACTGTCTCCGTTTTGCTATTTTTCTTTTATCTGCCTCCCGATGAAGTATCAGATATGAAATTGCAAATAATCTGCTTTAAACGGAGGCTTCACTTTGGTCGCTGCTTATTTTCGGTTTGGCCCTTCTTTATTCTCGTCCCTCCTCTGCTTCCAGGCTGAGTGTAAATGAGCCCGTCTTACAGCTTGGCACCTCCGCGGGTATTTTAACAAGGCGCCCCCTTGGCCACCGCTCCGGTGTCCTCATCGGGCCTCCTGCTAACTCCAGCCTGCATAAATTAACCGTTAAACACCCACCGGGGAAGACAAGCCCTCTGCGGCGCTCACATTGTCCCTCGCTGTCCGTCACGGCTCGGCACGGCATGTTCGGGCCGCCGACGGACAGACGTCAGGAAGAAAATGGGAACACAAGAGCAGACAGCTGAGCTCCTTTGACGTCAGCAGGCCGAAGTTATCACATCGACTGACCCCCGAGGACGTAACGGCCATCAGTTTGCATCACGGCCTGTTGCGCAACTCCCATTATTACCGTCCTGCGCTGGTCGCTGTGTTACTACACCGCATCCACGAGGACGCTGCCTCGGTGGCCACGTCCACATCAAACCACACCTCTGCTCGGGACGGAAATAGATCCTCCGGTCTTTATTTTAACTCAACCAAATCGCAATTGGTGGTTAATATTAGGGTGATGCAGCCACAGGTGGCGTATGCCAGGAGACACCGGGGTACCGCTGCTATGAATAGGCCTTTCTTCACCACAGATGCTGACACGCTGGAGATCACAGGTGTCACTGATAAAACGATGACTGGGCCGACTGACATCATTATTAGTCACAGCTGAGAAAAACGGACGTTTAGATTAACTTGAAAAGGTTCTTTAACGGTTGTTTTTTGCTCATTTTAACTCATTTTTCAATATAAAGTTCTGCAGCTCAGTGGAAACAGAAGAACCATGATGAAGGAGAGAGAACCAGAGATGTCGTCTGTGCTGAACAACGCAGTTAGAATAACGGAAGTCATAAAAAAGAAAACAAAAGCTTTGATAATTTGTTTGACGAAAACTGAAAAAAATGGAATCAACGTCGACAACATTAGAAAAACATGGAGGCTTCACATCCTATAGATGTTGAACTATCTCCATGTTTCCAGACTTCTCCTCTCTGCTCATCAGATGTAGAAAGATGTTCCACCATCACATGTAGAAAGATGTTCCACCATCATGTAGAAAGATGTTCCACCATCACATGTAGAAAGATGTTCCACCATCAGATGTAGAAAGATGTTCCACCATCAGATGTAGAAAGATGTTCCACCATGAGCTCGATGTGTCTCCACCAACTGTCTCTTCTGTTCTCTGGTTCTGATCCAGGCTGCATCTATTTATTGATCCAGTCGGTTGGATTTTCCTCTCAGGCTCTCTGAGGAAACACTGGCTGCAGTTCAACCTGAAAACTTCTTTATTTCGAGACATGTAGAATAAATTGATTCGGATTTAATGTCACGATTTTAACCTTATTTTCTGTTTACTTGCCTTTTAAAATTCTGACATTTCTTCCTTTTATTTTTGCAATTTTTAAAACGATAACATGCATTATGAATCAGCTGCTGGGTTTTGGCCATCAGAGGGTTAAAAGGAATTAACTACATTTACAAACTTGCTTGAAACCGTGTTCAGGCACAATTATTTTTGCTTTAGTTCTTTAGTGTAGCGACCGTCACTGTAAGTTTGGGCTTTTTATTTTTCCTTGATTCACTGATAAGTTGTTTGCTGATGAGAGAAATGTTAAGCAGGATGACAAATGTCGTGTTTTGCCAACAGCTTACTGTCACAGAGGAGGAAAGGAAACAGAAAATATTCACATTTAGAAGCTGCAATTGGAGAATTTAGACATTTTTTTGAATATAGTGATTGAAAACAGTCGTGTGGTTGAGGAACAGTTGAGCAACATGAAGAAATGATCTTAATTTGAGAACACGAAATTGCATAAAAATGGCAAAAAAAAAATGACTCAGTCTGGTGAAAACGTCATGAAATAAGATGTAAGCAAAAAATAAGTCACGTCCTACAAGATACTAATGAAGTATATACTCATCATTTACGTAGGAAATAACTGTTTTGGATGAAAACGTCGTTGTTTTTAATTGTTTTTTATCAAATGGTTTCTGCCAAACTAACTCTGAAGCACATATTGATGCTGTTTTCATGTATTTTTATCCTGAGGTGTTTGCTGGAGGCCCGGTGAGCCTGCAGAGCTCGTTTCCAGCCTTCACAGCGAACTCGATCCATCCTCTGTTTATGATGGCAGCGTTTTAACTTGTCACGGCAGGAGAAGCCCCACAGATCCTCCTGATGATGGATCACACACGTGTTCAGCTCAATGATGGCGGACGTTAGCGGGTCCACCTGTGTGTGTTTTTTTTTTTCCCTGGACGTCTGTGAGCGTTACGTCCGTGTGAACCGGCCCTGCAGGCGGCTGACATAACGTCTGGGCCACGTGGGGATCTCACGTTCTCCTGCCCCTCGCCCACCTGTCCTGTGGCCTCTGCCCCCCGCGGCGCATCTCCAACCTGACATTCGCTGTCATCCGCCGGAGTCGAGGCCCGAAGGGTCCACAATGAAATCCTCAGCATGCGTCAGTCGCTGCTGCAGGAGACTCGAAATAGACGCTTAACTGCTGCAGCGAGAAAAAAAAAAAGCTACGACCAGGACCACGGCGATCCAGAGGTCAAACATAAAGAGAGCCAGACGACCTGAAACCGACACGTTTTACGGCTGTTTTGGTTCTACGGCGAGCCCTCTCCCTCTCTCTCTGTTTTCTCGTTAAAACTTAACGGGCGGCGGATGTTTGCGCATGTGAGCGTCCACCTGCACCGGACATGTGAGGGAAGATGGCCGACACCTGTTTCTGAGCCTCCACATGAGGCTTTTAGTGCCGGACGCTCCGTCGGAGGCTCAGGACGTAACCTTCCCGTCGCACAGAGTCACCGTTTTGTCTTTAAACTTATTTTAAAGACGGTAAATAAGATCAAAGACTCGAGCGGTCACGTGGTTTCAGGAGCTGCATCAGAAACATCCACAACCTGCACTGTAAAAAAAATACTATAAAAAACACTGAAGGTCTGACGGCAGAAAGAAATATGTTTAAAAAATGCTTTAAAAGACTGTGAACAGAACAGCTGAACATATGTTCAATTATTCATATCTGCAGTTGATGTAAATACAGTAAGACTTTCATGTGGACATTATTTATAGTTTAAATACATTTTTTTTCAGAGATTTTCTGAGATATTATCTGTAATTTAACAAAACAGAGAAAATCTGCAAAATAACAGCTAAAAAAAAAATGTATTTAATGTTGTTGTTGACTCAAATGTGGGAAAAAAATAGTGTAAGTTTATGAGCAAATGTTGTCAAAGAACCAATTACTATTTATTAAAACATTTTGATGTGGACATTCATGACAGTTTTAGTACTTTTGTTTATTTTTATTTTTACCATTACTGTGTAAATCAGTACTTTCTAAAATCCTAACATACAAAATTAAGCTTTCAAATAACAAATATCTGTAACATAACGGTATTTTTGCTGATTTAATTCTGGTTTAAAATGTAAAAGAACAGATTGTTGATGTGGACATGAATTTTATTTTTTATTTTTTTACCATTAATTTGTCTCCATATTTTTTTTGTTTTTGTTTTTTTTTACATTTTTTATGACATATAATCTGTAGTTTAACAAAATGAGAAATAATAAAGAAAATAAACAGAATTTCTTCAGTTTTGTTAACTTAAGAAAAAAAAAGTAATTTTACGCTTCAGTGTTGCAAAAACATGAATTATCACTTCTACAAATTCTGGGTTTTGATGTGAACATTATGCACAGTTCAGAGGGTTTTTTTTCTTTTTACAGTTAATACGTAAATTATTGTTTTTCTCTATGGTTTTGGTATGTATTATCTACAATTGAACTAAACCAGGAAAATGCAGAAGAATTAACAAATTCTGCTGATTTAAATACGCTTAAAAATATGTGTGAATTGTAAAACAACAACAACTTAGCTTTAAGTAAAATATTGATTTTTTTTTAAATAGTTAGCATGAAAATAATGTTTTACTGTGATTTTACAATACATACAAGTCATTATTTGTATTTTAACATAACAAAGAATCTGCAAAATAACAGTTAAATACATGACTTTCTACCAGAAAACGGCAAATGTGTTAAATAATATTTTATTTACTGAAATACGTATTTTTTTTCTTTTAATTGTTTAGTTTTATCGCCAAATGATGTAAAAGAACAAATTACAATTTATAAAAACACCCATTTTT